GGAAACAGGAGGGTTAAAAACCAGCATGGCCCTGAACACACACAAACTTAATTCACAGCTGCTGTGGATCAGATCTTTCAAAAGAGCTTGCACCCACTGAGAAGCTGCCCCAAGAAACACTTAATGTCTAGATAGCTGCCGTTCTCTGAGTGAAGCTACACTCAGACTTCTGAATTATTGATAAATGTGACTCCCTCTCTTCATGTATTCCAGTGCTCTGCACAGATACTCACATAGACAGCTATGTCCACCAGAGGCCACGCTGGTAGAACCTAACATATAAAACTCTTCCAACTTCTATCACACCTGCTGAAATAAGGGAGAGTAGCACCATTTCAGAGATGTGAATGGCTCTGTATCCTCCCTGCACTACCCTGGAGTTGTAAGAAACCACTGAAGGATCCATTGAGCCTATTGAATTAGCACAGAAGGAAAAAGAACTAAAGATAGTAAATTCCTATGAAAAGATACAGACATGTGATTTTTAAAGCTGGTTATGGTAGTTAGCAATACTGAGAAACTCGTTGGAGATATTAAGAAGTGTGTTCAGCCTGTTTGTCTTTCCTGAAAATAGATTTTTAGAAACAGCATGAGAAACAGCAAAACTAGAACTGAAGTGATGACAATTGTAGTGAAGTAGTAACTGTGGCCCTCAGCAGCCAGTTCTATTCAAAGTTGAAGTGAAGTATGGAATATTTTTCAGTAGTAAACAGCTGCTTTACTAAAAACACTGACAAGAATCTGCCTTCACGAAAGAAAAAAAAAAGTCCCAGTTCACTTTTTGCATTCTGGTACAATAGACATTGTCAAGGCACAGTGGAGGCAAACTGCTCCTTGGGGCACAGGGAACCAAGAGCCAACTGCAGTAACACAACCAGCAGGACAGATGCCTCACCAGCTGGGGGCCATCCCACAACACCTGAGTGAGGCAAGCAGGGCAGACCTGGCACAACAGCCAGGGTCAACTGAGAGTCCAGGTTGCTAGACAAGTCTTCAGGGATGAGGCAGGTCTGACGTCAAGCAAGGAAACCACGGTCAGGGTCAGGTCCAATGATGGTAACCATGGTGAGACATAGCCCAGTGATTACCAGGCAGGCCCACTGCGATAAGGCACATCTGGAATCAAGTGAGGAAGTCAGACTGTGGATCAGGGTTTGGATCAACAGTGTCCATGGCCAGACACAGGCATGGCTGTGACAGAGCTGGAGAGAGGCACACCTACAACATAGCTCAGGCAGGGACTAGCGGCCCAGGGCTGAGCTGAAATTCGGTCCCTAGGGCCACCAACAGGAGGTGTAGGTGGAATCACCAGCTGGGGCTGCTCAAGGCCATTAAAGCCTTTTGGTGCGCTCAGGTGCACTAGTCTCCTGCCTTCAAGATGAAAATCTGCTGCTGCTTTGTGAGTGCTTTAGGAAAAATAATCAATTTTGCTACTTCATTTGTGTCTGCTATTTATCACAAGGTTTTTGCCCCATGTTTTTCCTCAAGAATCAAAACTTAGATTAGAGAGTTTCTATGGAGAGCTGGGGAGGATGCTAGGGTTATTTTTGTCAACACAAACCATACAGTTATTTGGCTATACAAGTTTACAAACTTTCCTGGCAATTCCATCTTCCTTGCCAGATCTGAAAATAAGAAAACACCAGTGTCAACAGAAAATTCTTCTACAGACAGAATTGTATTTCCACACCTCCTCTCCACTCCTGTATCTGGGAGTACAGTCATCTGCAATGCCTGTAGCTCTGGTAAAAGTTATTTGGCCTTTTTTGCTATTTGTGTCAAGTGCTATTAGTGCCAAGGAGTGGAAATAGAGCAGGAGAGCATACAATATGTACATTAAACTTTTGCTTGTGGTTGATACATTTGATACTGCAGCACAGGGGGTGGAAGCACATCATTAGCAGCATCCGGTCACGACAAACAACTCGAAGAATGAGTTAATGCAATAAGAATTAATTGTGTTTTTCTCACTGTGGTGTTCCATCGCATGAACTTTCCCAGACAGATAGCCAAGATTGTTTGTGGTTTACCTTCCCTGCAGGCTGGATGCATGCTGGCTGCCCAGTCACACATCATTTGGAGTCAGTGACAGAGATGGTAAATGTGCAGTCGCTCCAAGCCAATAGGCTTTGGGGTGCCATTCATGAGCTGGGCCACAATCAGCAGCAATCTGAATGGCAGTTTCCCCCTCACAGCACTGAAGCCACCTGCAACCTCCAGTGTGCCTATTTCAATGAGACTGTGTTGGGCATCTCAAGAGATAAGGCCCACTTGCGCTATGTCACGCCCCACTCAGGAGAGAGGGTGGGGAAGTGACTCAGATTCGCAAATCCCCAGCAGTGTGGACTAAGGTGAGACAACTCTCAAGGTCCATACAAAAACATTTATTACATTCCCACAGTGATTAATATACATCATAACTAGGTCCACAATAATTGGTTAGGTATATAACAAATTATGGCAAATGGTAAAACAAAGTATGGCAAGCAGTAAGGTATACCTTGCATTACTTAGCAACAGATATACAACAAATTATGGCAAGCGGTAAGGTATGCCTTGTGTTACTTACTTAACTTGAAAAGAAAAAGAGAAAAGAAAGAGAAACAGAGGGATAGAGCAAGGGAGACAGAGGTAGATAAGAGATCACCGGTCCTGTTTCCAACGTTGGTCTGGCCAACAGGGGTCTCTGGCTCATAAGAAGCACTCCTCTGTGTAAAATCTCCGCAGGGAAAAAAATCTCTCAAAGGGCACTCATTTTCCCCTCTTATGTTCATGGTATCAGTACAACGTTCCCCACTATTGCAGTGCTCAGGTTTCTTCCCCCCACAGGTGATACGTAGCATGACTTGGGTGGAGAGATGAGTGCTCATATATGTTTAGCATGATCTTGATAATCTTCATTAGCATATGCAGGGGTGTCAACTTTAATATGCATTTCATGCATAATGAGGCAAAGGTCATCATCGGGCATAAGCAGCCTTCCAAAGAAACAAAACACAACGCAGACTCTTGTTATCTTGTCCTTGCTGAAGAAAAGCAGCTCTGTCCTGTTTCCCTCCTCCAGATTCTTTCCCACCTGAGCAAGCAGGTGTCAGCCTTATCAGTTCTTTGAGCATAAGGCCTGCATTATTCACCCCGTGGCTATAGCTACATTTCAAGGTACTTGTGAGTGTTTGAGGCATTCCTCAGTGAGGCTCAGAGGGCCTCCTCCTCCCTTTTGTCTCTCACCATTTGTTTCAGGGAATTTACAAGTCATCTCTTGCACGCTGGAACTTAGAAAGAAGATGATTCAAGATTACCTTGAAAATGGAGCACAGCTGAAGGACTGGGAAGTATTTACTGACCTGGAGACACACCTGCAGGTAATCCACAGGCAAATTAAGCTTGCAACAGATTTACAAACAGATTGTTTTAATCCAGAGCTGCTTCTTTTCTTTTCCTCACTTTCTGCAACCACTTGATCCCTACCCAAGATTGTCAGGGAGAGTAGTGATAAGATGAGGCATAACGGTTTTAAACTGCAAGGGGGTGGATTTAGATTACATATTGAGAAGAAATTCTTCACTCTGAGGGTAGTGAGACACTGGAACATGTTACCCAGAGAAGCTGTGGATGCCCCATCCCTGGAGGTGTTCAATGCCAGGTTGGATGGAGCTTTGAGCAACCTGGTCTGGTGGGAGGTGTCCCTGCCCATGGCAGGGTGTTGGAACTAGGTAATCTGACCCTAACCATTCTATGATTCTACAATTCTAGGATTCTAAATACTGGATTTTTGGGCTTGTGTGAATATTAGAAATATAGGCTTGTTGAACAGTCTGACAGTGTAAAAGGGCTGCTCTGGTTCTTCAGTAGGCATTTAGAATTTGTCAGGTAGCTACACTTATAAACAAGAAAGAAAAATGCCCTGTATAAAGATCAGTAATTGAATTTAGTAAAAGATTTTGTAAAGAATGCAGGTAGGGTAATTCTAAAGTTCTGTACATATTTTTGGTACTGTTTCTCTTTTCTTATGATTCATAGCTGCAAGAGGCCTTTGGATAGGAAGCCTCCATTGAAATCTTTTCTGCATACCAAAATATGTTAGAGTTCCCAGATGATAATGACTGACAAATGAGTCCATGGGCAGAAAGTTTTTCTCATCTGGTGAAGAAGAATTTGACTCCTTTCTTTAAGGCCTGGGGATGGCCAGTCAAGGAGAGCCTTTCCCAGCAGCTGGCTGTTTCTTTCCAGACTTGGTCAGAGAATCCAATGAAGCAACAGACCTCCTAAGCAGGTTTTTGTTTATCAAAATAAAAATGTGTTTGTCGGTGATAAAACCAATGCTTAGCAATAGTTCTAAATGGTGTCTGAATGGTATGGTATGACAATGAATCTGAGAAGCAGTTCTACATTTTACATGTGATAGAAGAGTTCGTTCTTGGCTCCCTCCCAATTCTGCTGCTGTTTGTTAAAAGCCACTACTTCCTTTCCCAACAGAAGTAATTTTAAGTACAGAAGGGGAAACATTTGCTGTCTTAATACCTGTGAAACAAAGCCACAGCTTCCCATTTTTCTCTTCCTCTGCTTCCTTGTCTTGAAAAGGTTCTCTGTTCCAGACTAAGTCGTTACAGATATGCAAAGTTTGTTAATAAGGATCATTAGAAGAAGAGTAGGAATAGAGGAAAAACATGACTTTAAAAATAGACACGTTAGGAGATAATAAGGCTAGAAATAAATGGAAGAACTCAGATGAAATTATGGCTACAGCAACGAGCAATGAGAATGACCATTCAAAGGAAAACCTCAATGGACAGCATAGGAAGGGCCTTGATCTTTGTTTAATGTTTTGAAAGCGGTTGCCTTCATGCTCTGCTTTCAGTGTTGGTAGCTGTGTAGTGAGAAATTGCTGCTTTAGTTTGTGTCAGAAGCAAAACAGTGTCTGAGCGGTGAAGTTACCACCCTGATCCTCAGCTAGAATAAATCTGCAGACATCTAGTGAATGTAAAATTGTGGCAACTCACTCTGCCTAAGGTTCTAAGACAGCAGGTGCCTCACCTCACAGGATTGAATGTGTTGACTGGAAAGCAGTGCTGGAGTGTGTGTACAATGGTCTACGTTGATCTCCAATCTAAATAATGAGATCAATGGCCCGTTCTTAAATGCCACACCTGAACTTTCCCCTTGTTAAAACACAGGCTATAGCACAAGCCGATTTTTATGGTGCATTTCAAGATCCTGAGTCAAGCAGTTCCTTGTCTTGCGGCTATGGTTTCTTTTTCTAGAGTGAATGTTACAGAATTCTTGATCTTGCTGTTAAGGCCACTTACACGCACGTCAAGGGACAGCAGCGACAGAGTCAGAGGCTCTCTGCAACTCCTCCAGATCTCATGGGCCATAGCTGAGCAGCTTCTTCAGCAAAAGAGCTGGGAATTACGGCGTACAAGGATCAAGCATTTCTTTTCACTGTGCCCAGATAACATATGTCAAACCTATGAATAATCCAAAGTCAATGGAGTGACCTGCATCAGTAATACTGCAAATCATTTACGTGTCCATCCAATAGTACGTTATCCAGAAAGATCCCTGTCCTTGTTTGAGTGACACAGGACTAATTTCTCTTCTAATACTTGGGAAAACTGCGCTTTTGGAAGACTCTAGTGTCTGAATTTGTGAAAATATTTACTTTACAGCCAGCTATGGTGTGTGCATTTCAAGGTCTCAGTGTTTTCAAGCTTGCCAGGTGCAGGAATGAGGAGGAACAAGACCTGAGAACTTGACCCAAGCTGGCCAAAAGGATTATTTCATACCATCAACATCACATTCAATATAAATTAGAGAGTTTGCTGCGAAGTTCTCTCTCTCCCTTGATGGCTGCCATCCTGAGAACTTTGTGCCCCAGGGCTGGACCCCTGAGGCCTTCCCTTCCTCCTGAAGCCGTAGCGATCGCAGTGTTCCACATTTACTGTCCACTGCTGGGAGTGCACAGCCTCCTACTGATAAAATTGGCTGAGTATAATCTTTTCATATTCTGTATGGTTGTCAGGATCAATATTGGTTCTTTAGTGCTATCAATGTTAATGATCTAATCTTACTCTATGAAATCTGTTTATACTTCAACTCCCGAGTTTCCTTGTTTTTTCCCCAGTTCCATTTCCCTGGCGGGGAGGGGTCATCGGGTCATAGAATGATTGTCTAAATGACAATAAATTGTTATGGATTCCCCAAACCATAACAATCCCCCAAATCCTTCAACCATCCTGAATTTGAAAATCTTTATTCTATACTTTGAAGCCAAATGTTCAAATGTGTTGAGGTTTTTTTCTGACAAAGTCCTACAGCAATTCTTTCTGAAGTTTGGGGGATTCTAAGCTGAGAAAGAGCTGAAGACTTTATGATTTGATTCTCAGGAATTAAAACCTAACACCACATGATTATCTTCTCAGCCCTGACGTTTGAAAAATCTCCACAAAGCTACTTTTAATATCCCAGAAAATTGACCTTGCTCCCTTCTCTACAGTAGAGGATATTCTTCCAAACAGGGTAGTTTTGACACTGATATTTAATGTTTCTGTACAACCTCTCTTTGCCTCTGGTGTTTTGTGGTGTCTTTAATAAAGGCTTTTTGAGTGTTCCTATCTGCTTGTACACAATTTGATGACATTCTTCTAACATAACTGGGATTCAGTGGTTATATTCAAGATGTTAAAAGTGTTTCCTTCATAATGTACCAGCAGAGCATGAAGAATTGTACTATGCGCTAATTTAATTTAGCATTTTCATAATGATCTCATGCTAATAAATCTTGCTGATATAGCAAATATATGGGCATCGTTGTTGCAGAATGTATGAATGTTATCTGAAAGTAATCAGATGTCACTGAAGACTACAGTATGGCAAATTGAGTGAAATTTTAAATTGCATAACTATTGAATTCATCATCAAGAATTTCTTTTCTAAGCTAAGAGCTTATCAATGGATAATGTCAGAGAAAAAATCTGGACATATTAGTGGGTCACAGAATAGGTTAAGATATGCTGAAACGGAAATAAATGCAGAAGATGATGGGGAGGGGGGGTGAAGAACCAATCATAAGATCAGTTTTGTAGAACAGTTTATTTAAGCCTTGAAAAATTAAAGTGTGGGAGAGGTTCTGTGATTCTTCTTTATGAATTCATTGGACGGCTAAACTCCAGAAATGAGGAAGAAGCCTACCTCATATGCCTCCAACAGCAGTAACTGCATTGAACCCCTTCCAGAAGATATACTCAGGGATCTGCCTGTGCTCGCAGATGCCAGCCTGGAGCTACGGAAGATCTTCAGGTTTCCCTGACTTGGCATCATCAACAACAAGGGTCAAAAAAGCTAGACACGGGAGTTGACATAGAAGCTTGACACTGAGCAACCCAGCTCAGTGGTGCCTGAAGACATTTCACTACATTACTCAGAAAAAGCAGATGAGTGGCAGGAAAATTCCAGGCCTGAAATATGTCAGCCAGAAGTGGAAGAGTAGGTGGATTTTATGCCTGCTCCAAGATTAGCACGTCACAGATGAAAACGTCTTCCAGTTTGTTCATCGTAGTCCTAAACTTTCCTCCTGTACGTGGGAACCTCCTTTTGTTACTGTCCACAAAATGCTGATATGAAAGGAGCAGATGTGTGGGTCTGGGGTGACAAAAACCAAGCGATACAGCTGGTAGGAACTGCTGTCAGAACATTGTTGTTTATTGTGCAAATTTTTAAGGGAGGCTTTAGGGGTGAGTGTTGGAGATGCTTTGGGAAACAAAGTACCATGAGGAATTCCCAGAAAGTGACAGTAACAAAGTGCATGTAGATAGTTAAATTGAAAAATCACAAGACAGAGGACAAATTGTCCCACTTCTTCCTCTCCCCCCCAGTCAAAAGTAGTCTGCACAGAAAATAAATAGCTTTCTACTTCTTTCTGGTTCTGTTTTGAGGCTTTCCTGTTGGGAAGAGGTGGGCAGAGGTCACACTGCTGCACAGGTAACACCCACCATTGGCTCTTGTATTCATGAAAAAAGCGCACATGGCCCAGAAGTCACCGGTTTGCACAAATGATTACAGGAGCTCCAAAAGTGACGAATGGGGGTGTTCCTTTATTAAAGATTCCTTTTCCAGGAACAAAGCCAACAGGTGCAAGGTTGAGACTGCAGATGGCAAAAGTAGCTGAATGTGCCCGAGCAGTACACGATGGGGCTGACGTTCCACTGCCCGACCTCCTTCTTTCCCTTTCTATGAGAATGGTGCTGCTTGAAGTTCATAGCTTTCAGAGCTTGCTTTACAATGCGTGTCGCAGGAGAAATGGCATGGAAGGTGAAGTGATAATGTGCGTCCCTACTCTAGAGGGTATTTGCGCTTTTTGTGCTCTGAGGCTCTGACACCACATTGCATCATGAGCCGCTGAACTTCCGTGCTGAGGGACGACCAGCTGTGTGTGGTTCTCTCTGCAATACGAGAGCGGGGTACCGGCGGCACCCTGTGTTCCTGGGACTCTGCGGAGAGAAAAGCAGCTCTTGATCAGAGATTATGACCCCTGCAGGGAATGTCAGTCGAGGAGCTGCAGGTGATGGTGGGGATTGCCTTTACTGTCGTGTCTAGGCAGGGTGGGAACAAGGCGGGGTGAGGCTCTGGGAACAGGTGGTGGGAGACTGGACAGGCGTCCACGCTCTTGAGCAAAGCTTGGTGAGCAGTGACCAAGTCCCACATCCCACCTAGTTGGAAGCAGGGCTGGTGGTTATCATGAGCGTAAGGGACCCTCCCTCTGCAACCAACATGGGCTGTGACTACCATGGGGGAAAGAAGAGCATGAGAGAGAGGAGCAATGGCTAGGGAGGGAAGAGAAGGGAGCCAGGGCGTGAAGGTTTGGACAGGTGCTCATGGGAAAGGGGGAAGGAAAGGAGCTCCAGCAAAGCAGAGACGCTATGGCTTTCTGCCCCTTCAGTGCTCACAGATTGCAAATTGCTCTGTGGGACTCCACACCTTTCTCTCCTTGCAGGAGGCCAGCTGTCCAGTGAGGGCTGCTGAGTTTCCTGGTCAATCCTGTCCTTGTCTTGGGGCGGCGTGTGACTCCTGCTCTTGCCCTTTGTTTTCAGCCCCAGCAGAGAAGAGAAGAAGCCCACAGCTTAGCTCTTGGGTCCTGCTCGTTTCTGCCACTGTCCTCAAAGCCAGTCTCATATCCATCTGGCTTGGTGAGTTCTTGAGTTTGTTTATTTTTCCTGCAGATGGAAGGGACTGGGGGAGGGGGGAGTGGTGGGAGAGGAAGACATGATTAGAGAAGTTTCAGTTGCCTTTTTGGAAACTGTCTTGGCCAGGTGACAGCTGATTCTGCTCCTTCCCCATTAAACAGTTCACAGCTGTACAAACCCTCCAGGTCAGTGTGGTGGCAACTGCATGTGGCCAATGTGCAGAAGAACCTTTGCTGCTCAAATGCTCTGGTACTCCTCTGCGTGGCCTCAGGAGTGGGAATGCCTACAGACCCCATCTCATTCCAGCTGACTCAGCAACATCTAGGGGAACGGCATGGTCCCTGGAGCTCCCTGGGCTGTGCTTCCTGAGGGAAGAGCTGGCACTGGTCCAGGCCACCCTTGCCCTGCTAAGCTCTTAAGACACGTGCTGTTGCCTTTTCATGTGTGGGTAGTTATGGTTGGGATGTGGGTTGTCCGTCTGCTTGCAGCCATTCCATGAGACTCCTGCTTGGGATTTTTCTCAGTGACTGCTACTTGTAAACACAAAGCTAAGCTGCCATTTATGAAAGAATAAGTTTCCTGTCCTCCTCATGGTGGGAGAAAGACTGAGGAATAAAAGTCCAAATTGAGAGGTCAGTAAGGGGAAACTTCTGGAGCTCTCGTAATCGGTTAGTACCGTTCACTCTGGATTCATTTAGCAGTGCCTCATCGCTCCTCCTTGCTGTGCCGTGCTGCTGAAGTCTCCACAGGCTCAAAAGATTTTACATTGGCCACATGGACACATGACTAATCCTAGAATAGCCATAATTTAAGTGGCCGGTAGAAGACCACAGCTGGAGTACTGTATCCCGTGATGGGCTCCTCAGTACAAGAGTCCAAGAGAGTCCAACAAAGAGCCACAAAGACGATGAAGGCACTGGAGCACCTCTCCTATGAGAGAGAGGCTGAGAGAGCTGTGACTGTTCATCTTGGAGAAGAGAAGGCTTGAGGGGATATCATCGGTTTTTATAAATATCTGAAGGAGGGTGCAAAGAAGGAGGAGCCAACCTGTTTTCAGCGGTGACCGGTGATGGGAAAAGGGGCAATGGGCACAAACTGAAACACAGGACGTTCCCTCTGAGAATCAGGAGTTAGGGATAGTCAATTTGAGTTAGTGGTGAGTCACACACTTCGGCTCCACAGCACCCAAGGGGGCCTGA